GTGAGAGAGAGATTCCCACTACTCATAAATATGAATTAACTTTAGAAAGCGTTGTCTGGTATTTCTTGGCTTAGGCACCCAAAAAATTCAGTATAATACAAAGCTGGCAGTGCAGATAATGTAACGTGCAGGTGGGAGCGAAAAATCTGTTTTTTTAACAGAGCTGTAAAAAGTTTTCCGGCTGGGTGTGTTGGAATATTCTTCAGGAGTTTGAACGGCCGATGGAAAGGGGGCCTTTCTTAGATTCGTGTGCGGATTGTATTCAGATCAAAAACAGGGAAAGGTGTTCCCTCCCCGATTCACGCACGCAAACACCCCAAACCCCGGCACTATTTTACTTCCACGGAGACACACACAGGGAGCGGGCCTCGGTGCTGGATTCCGCCCCCGCCAGGGTTTGATTGACAGCTCCTTTCCCGGTGAGTCGCGGAAGCATAAGGCCGTTTTAAAAAATGTTTATCAACAGCACCTCCGCTATGCACGCAGGAGGGAGAGGAAAAAGGACATCTACAGGGGGAGGTGGAAATCAGAGCAAGGATTCTGCTCCCTTCAGAATTTGGAGGTGGGGGGAGTGTGCTTTTTAAGTTGCAAAAGATGAACTTGAAAAACTGGGGAATCTCTTTTACTTCAACTATAAAAGAAACCAAACGATGTGAGAATGCGATCTTAATTCACCTACACGTAAAAGTCGATACCTCCACAACTTATCTCTCTCTCTCTCCACTACATATATATATAGCCTTGAATATATACAGGCCCACTTCTCTTCTACCTAAAAGACCTCTTTATTTGCATTTAGACTCTCTCCCGAAAGTTTTTAAAAGTTCCCTGACGGGGAATCTCTTTTACTGATCTTTCCCCCTTCAAGTATAAAGGAAACCAAACGACGTGAGAATGCGATCTTAATTCACCTACACGTAAAAGTCGATTCCTCCACAACTTATCTCTCTCTCTCTCCACTACATATATATATAGCCTTGAATATATACAGGCCCACTTCTCTTCTACCTAAAAGACCTCTTTATTTGCATTTAGACTCTTTCTAAAATTGAAGACCCCCCCTCCCGAAAGTTTTTAAAAGTTCCCTGAATTCTGGAACTGAAAAAGCTGAATTTTAAAAGTCGAAGGAGGCCTTTTCAACTTCTTTAATAAATAATAATAATAATAATAA